AGCTGGAATCAGTGAATGTTTGTTTAAAAAGACTTAGATTTATCAATTGTCAAAGTCTTTGCTGATTACATTTCTGTCAGTCAACTAACTGATTAATCATAAGCACCTCAGGTTTATTAATGTATTATCTCTACGTGAATTCATGTCTTTATGATTTACCTCTCTAGGCATGCCGCTGTGGTGATTTCGGGAACAGAGTTGGCTCGTCAGCTCCACAGAGAAATCCAGCGTGATGTGGAAGAGCTGGTAGCTCAGGGCAACATGAGACCCCACCTAGGAGTGGTCTTAGTCGGGGACGATCCCGCCAGCCGCACCTATGTTAAGAACAAGACCCGGGCAGCCAGCATCCTGGGTCAGATATGAGCTTTGCATGCATTCATTCCTAAACACATTCCTCTGTGCATAATGTGCATCATATAGATCAACAAACATAACACAGAGTTTTAGGCATGCATGGACAGATAGATACAGACACACGGAAAGATACACATGGATGAACACAATTTTCATAAGCAAAACTAATGTAATGTTATAAATGTAAGATAACATGCACATGGCAACAGTTTTTAACAGGCAGTGTGTGTGTGATGTGTATGCGCTCATCAGGTATTTCCAGTGACACAGTGGTTCGGCCGAGCTCGGTGTCCCAGGAGGAGTTGCTGGAGCTGATTGACAAGATGAATCGTGACTGGAGGGTCAGCGGCCTGTTGGTGCAGCTGCCGCTTCCCGGTAAACACACGGGCCACATCTGCACACATGTTTTCCTCACTGACATCAAAGTTAAAGCAAATGAGCTGGTCTGCACGGTTCAATTTGCAGTGATCGCATCTGTATAGTTATTTCCTAACATGAAAAACCATTGTGGAAGCTATATGAAAAACTGGGCTAAAGTGGCCTTTGGTTACATTTTAATCGTTGTAAATGTTTGGTTTCTTACACTTGATTTTTTTAAATTGACTTGCAATATTCAAAACATACTGTATGCTTAAAACACTGGTTCCAAACCCGACCACCACTAGGGGATGCCAAACTTTCATGTGGGGTTGCAAAGTCTTCTTGATTTTAAGGGGTGTAAAATTCATTCATCTCTGTGAAGAAAACTCAATGAAATTATTGATTTTAAAGTTTAGATTATTATTTAAGATAACAGTCTTCACCCTGTGCTAAACAGCCTCATCCTGCATTAGAAATGTACACAGTTAAAACAAACACAGAGCTAATAGAACTGAATTAGTCAAGAAAGAAGCCTATTAAATATGTATGGTTGTTAGAAATGATTAAAAAATACATAATACAGACAGAGAATTCTATAAAACGTTCCTGAAAATATCAGAAAAACTGATCTCTGATGTAATATTCACAGGAAATAATCTGCTCCAATGAATCCAAATAGTTAATTTTACACAAACTTCCTGCACGTATTGCATTCACCATTAATAAGCTGTTATTGTTATGCATATAATGTGAAATATCCATAAAATATACTTACACAGGGCATGTCAAACCACTGGTTTAGAACATTTAACACATGTAGTCCCAGTGTATAACGTAGTGGTCAACAATTAGCCATTACTGTATTTTCTGGCTTAATTATACGTAATATCACTGATTGTCTGTCCTACTCCCTCCTCTCTTTAGAGCACATCAATGAGCGAGCAGTATGTAATGCCATTGCTCCAGAAAAGGATGTGGATGGCTTCCATATTGTGAATATCGGTAAGCTGTGTCTGGACCAGAGATCCATGGTGCCTGCCACACCTGCAGCGGTCTGGGAGATCATCAAAAGAGCAGGTAAACCTCTTCAGCTCCATTACTTATGACCATTTTTTAAATGCAATTTTAAATATGTTTTTGTACACTTGTTTTAATGTTGTTTTTATACTGTTCTTTTTTTAACATTGCTACAATTGCAATTACATTACAAACAATAATCTCAACCTTTATTCTTAAGGGACCTTTTTTCTATCACTGAGTAAACTGATTAACCCTGGCTAAGTAACATATGTTATGGATATTTCACATTATATTCAATGAATGGCAATAACAGTACAGAACAACTAATAAACTGTACAATGAAAACAAAAAAAAGTGAGTTGGATTAAACACAATTTCCTAATAAGTAATCAGTTTTCCTGGTAATTTTAGGGAACTTTTAATTCTATTCTCTGTATTTATTTTGCATTTTTTATTTTTAACAACCGTGCCTGTGTAATAGGCTTTTTTTATTATAGATTCAGTGTTTTCTTCTCATTCGTCTATTGGTTTTTTTGGTTGTTTGAACTTTTCTAATGCAGGATGAGGCTGTTTATCATA